GGTAGTTCGGGATTTGGAATGGATTCATAGGCTGAGGTGAGTGTAGAAGGAGAGAGAATTTAATTGTCTTACCCATGCTTGCTTTGGTCAGTGGAGGGGAGCCACTGGAGGATTACTGTCTGCATTTGAGGTGCTCCTGTCGGCTTAGATATTTCCATAAGAATTATCGCGGATCCGAGGATGGTGGTTGTATGCTACCTGCAAGGTGAGTGTGCAATTGTGAAGTCAAATCATGTGAGTGGCCTTGATCCACTGAGGTGGGGGTAGTAATGTACCACCTGAGAAGGGTCTATGGTTTGGTTGAGACCGAACAGTGAGGAGGGATGGGAAAACAGCGTGGGGTGTTTGTATTTATGCTTAACAGTGACTATGGTGTTGTCTGCTCGCCAGGGATACTGGCTAGGTATAAAACTTTGGCACTGTGGTAGAGTATAACTCCATTACGGATAAGATTTTATTTCGATAAATCACACAGTGTTACACAGTAATATTAACTGGTAACGTTTCGAGCACAAATTATTGCTCATGGTCATATCAAGTTACTCCCACAACTTTTTCCTTCATTTGAGCTGATGAGCCCCATCCATGCTGTATGCAAATAAAAAGTAAACCTTATTCGTTCTAAATTTATTTCACTAATAATCAAAAAGTTATTTTGAATATTTGAAGAACTTTATAATCTAAATATAATCGATCTAATATACAACGTCATGTTGTCATAACTGTCAGCTGTTTTCAGTCAGCTGGTTGGAATAAAATTTATACTGTAGCATTACAAATTACTAGGCTTTTGAACACACATCTGTTAATTTGTCTGACATTTAAGCAAGGCATATCAATCAAAGCAGCTACATCAAAATCAATGAAAAGTGATATTAGAATGCATTCTGTAGATTTATCTTAAATACCTCATCAAATCCATTTTCTGTTGTCGGAATTAAACTGATGTACTTTTGTGCGCACATTTCATATTGCTATTACCTGTCTTTATATCGTCTTTCGTCAAGGGTTGAATGAAAGTGAGATTTCTTTGGAATAAGTAATTAATCGATAGAGACTGACGTAGTCTTCTATTAGTGGACTGTTACGTGTTTAATGGGTAGCGACTAAAGCCTGGAATTTAAACAAAGCAACAACTACATTGGAAGAACAGAAAGAAGAGCATATCTACGATTTTCTGAACATGTACCAAAAAGCTTACGTCTAAAGGGAACAAATGCTTTAGGCAGTGCCATCGCCAGGCATCTTCTTGACACGGGTCATGAGGTGGAAATCGAGAAATCCTTTAAAATTATCAATAGACAAAGGAACTCCATTCTCCTCAAGTTTGCCGAAGCAATTTCTATCAAACGCTTGAAACCAGATTTATGTGTTCAGAAAGAAGCAGTTATCAGTCTTTCTTTGCCCTGGTAACTGGATATTTTTCATCCTAATGCGAGATACTAAAAAGTTTTCATTTTGTATGATTATTAATGCTCGAAATTGTGTTCAAGATTGCATATATATACATATATGTATATATTATTAGTGTATGTGTATATCGATCGATTGATTTCTGTTTAAAATGAACTCTGTGTAAGTATGTTAAATTGTTATTGTAGATACATTTAATAATGTTTTTGCCCTGTAAGCAGCTGAAGAGAAGGCGACGAAATAAAATATGGTACCATTTTATTCTGCAAAATCTGTAGTTGTTGCTTTGTTTAAATTCATTAAGGGGAACAAATGTATGAAAAGCCTGGAATGAAAACCAGAAACAATGCAAGGCTTTAACCGGAGGCTTCCGAACTCCCGGTTCGACGTAGTGACAGATGAGCTGTAAGATTCAACTTCTAACTATCAGGTCGTCATTTCAATGCAGTTATCACAAATATTGCCCGGCTGTTAATGTAGAGGAAAGACTATTTGAAAAAATGCCTCTTGAACGACCCAATTGTAATAGTGATACTTATTTGGGTCTTTTAACTGAATGCGTAGTTATTTTTCTCTTGTCTTCTAGGCTATATGTCACCATCCCTACGTTTACATATCACATGTTGACTTTTTCTGTTTTTTATTCCCTTACATTCCCAGTGGAACACTGAGTTACAAGCTACAGGCTTGAAGTTCCGATAGCAATGGTATTTAATTTTTATTGTGTCGGGTTGCTAGGCTCATGCCCAACCTTTGCCAGTCTCATTACTGGCTTAGCATGATTTGGGAGTGCGTCGGCCGGGGATTGAACGCCGGCCAAACCACTTGTGTGGCTGGCGAGCATTCTACTGCTGTGCCACCGACGCATATATGTCGACTTTATCCTTATTATTTGTATCTGCTGTCGGTCGGTCGGTCGGTTTTCGACATAGAACTTTGCACATATGTGCGGCAGTTCAAGTCGCCACACTCCCTCCACGTAGCACGCAAAGCAAGAGAAGGAAGTAGAAGAAATGCATAATGGAAACAGTAAACAGAGGTGTGAGACAAAGGAATAGTAATAACGGAGAACAAAACAGTTTAATTGGAAATCATGAGTCACAAGGAGTGGATGCATCTGCGCCACTGAGAACGATTTTGAGCCATGTCACCAATTGTTTCCAACCATTACTTTTTACCGTCCCGAGTACCCCAACCAGGAAGTCTACATCTTCCTACGTGGCTTAGATTAACTGTTGTAGATTTCATTGATTGGTGCCATGTTTTCGTTTGACCGCCGCTAGCTCTTTTCCAGCCTGGCCCTATATCAGCTAACATTGCCCGTCGAGGAAGGCGATGACTAGGCATACGTAACACATGTCCCAACCATCTCAGTGGATATAATTTCACAGTCTCGTCGATTGATTTCCCCGCCTTACCTAGCACTCGACGCCTAACCTCAATAGTGCTCACCTTATCATACCAATTCACGCGAGATCAGTCTCTAATTTTCATGCTTCTCTTTATGGTTGTAATATTGATAGCGTGTTGTTTTACGACTGCCATCCTGTTTGAGTGAGTCAAAGTGATTCTAACCATGAAGTGTCTGTGGTGTATAATGGTTGCTGACAGAGTTGTGATCCCACATTGTTGGGAATAACCTTCTGGATCCTAAAGTACTTCTTATGGTTAGATTTTAGTTAAATAATTTCTATTTTGTACTTAAGAAATTATTGGATCTGTATAGCTGCCTAAAGACACTGTTGAGGTAATTTAGCATTTGAATATATTAGGATTGTTGAATATTACCGCAGATTGTATTAGAAGTAACTATCTTTCCTCTGTTGTCTGAGCATTTTGTGACTATGAGTGGTAACTCAAGGAGCTTTCGGTTAGCTATACAGTAGAACGTAAAGATAAGTTATCAGCTTTACGACCACAGCACACCGATTTTGGTCGTTACATTTAACTGGTGTTCACTGGTATATAGTTGAAGTAAAAATCTTGGATAAAGTGTGAGTGTGTATTCGGGAGAAATTTATTAACACAGCCATCAGTTATACCTTGAATGCTATAGATTCAACTGATGAATATACACTATTGGAGCCCTCTTTTAACTCCCATTCATATCCAAACTTCACTTATTATTCTCTTACCCGAATATTTTATTAGTACGTTCATTGTTGAATTAATTGTGTTGTCTGAGCTGGTTGATTTAATTGCAATTCCTTCTAGACAACATCGTCAACGCAGGTTTTAGCATAAGATGGAATTATTTGAATTCTCAGGAAACACAACCAATTCAATATCCCCCTCCCGAGCTACAAATCTTCGTCATTAGTACGGTCATTAATATTCCCTCAAACTCAAGCTCCCTTGGCATAAATAGAACTCTGCACTAGCTGTTTATCTTAATATCTCTATGATCACACTAATCCCTAATTCAGATCATGGAAAATATTATGACTGTTGTGGCGAAGAAAATTTTCTTTTCAACAAAATCATCAATTAGGCTTTACATCTGTGTACATGTAGTGAGAAAGTTTCGCAATTATAATTTGGCTACAGAACGTCCTGTTAACTCAGGAAATCCAGCTCCATTTGAAAAATCCTTCGAAGTCTTACCGAAAAGCCGATTAAACCTATCAAAGGGAGTGAGATCAAGGCATTTGAGCATAACTAAGGCAAAAACGATCCAAAATTCGAAGCCCACGCCCTGTAGCCGAAAGAAATACGTTCAATCATTGTCTCTACCATAACCATCACAAAGGGTCACTTTTCTTAATAATGATCATCCTACTACCTTTTTTATCTCATCTCCATGTTTATTTCTGTTAACTTTACGTGTTTTAATCTTTATTGTCATTACTATTTGTTTCATCCGAACTTCCTGTCTATTTTGTCATTACCACACTTTTAAACCCAAATTGCACAAAAAGCCAATTTTCTCAGTTATTATGATCCTACTACGTTTTTAATCGATCTTCTTGTTTGTTTTGTTATTGTTAGATTTCAGTCTCTTTTTGAAATCTTATTAGTTTGACTCTCAACCGGAAATAGTTCTGGAATTTTCTTGTCCATTTATCGCAAATACGCGGATGTACAGCCTAGCTGGTAACTTCGTTGAAAAGAAACTTTTCCTCACTGCAACCGTCTTTTTACTGTTTGTTATTACCCTTTATTATTTATTTATTTTGGTTTGCTCTCATGTGAGAGCTACTACTGAAATCAGGTTAGATTCAATCCTTAGTTGGATCATAGGTACGTGCTGCTGAAGAATCCCGGATTCGGATCGCATACATCTCTCCATCACTCCTTGGTTTTTTACGCTACTCTAGTTGTTTTCAGTCCAGAATAAAATCTAATTTGAAATTTCGAATACTGTTTTCATGAATTCATTCAATTGTTCACTCAATCTTCCTCGAAATAAATCTAAATCTGGTCCGTTTACGTGAACCTTTAAAAATTAAGACTGGATTCGGTCGAAGAGTAGTTTTGATGCATTGTATTAATGCACCAGTTTTTCGAATTTCAATTTCAATGAGTTAGCAGCAGCAGAACGAATGAATTTATAATAATAACAATATATTTCTTTTTAAATCTAATATTTCTTCATTATTTCGACAAAATTGGGATAGAAATTCATGTTTTACGAAATTTCTTTTCCTTTTTTCAAGTCCTTTTTCAACCTGTTGCATAGCCTGGTATATACTCCTTATTAAATTTATCGAATAATCCAATCGGTGGTAATACATTACGAAATCGTATAGGTTTGCACTTCTTTGAATTCAGTGCATCTTCCTCCTCTGATTTTCGAAAGTGTTTTGTTCCATATGGAATTGGTCCATAAACTGACTCAGACCATAATAATCGTTCGTAAGGTAGCGAGGGTACAACTCCGGCATGAAATCTAGTTTTTTTCGAGATGTGCGATTAGATAAGAAAAAGGTAAGAACAATTGCACACAAAAAATGTCACATAATTTATGTGAAAAGCATTTCTACGTGATAAAACATAAGTAATAAATCCTACCGAGATCATTTGATTGTTACAAATATATTAATCAATAATTTTAAGACTTTATACGCCAGCAAAATAAATTCTTTGATTGGACACTAGTTAATAATAAATGTCGTACGTCAAAGTATCAAAGCATCCATAACAATCATACACGAGATTAACAACAAGGCCGAATGGCTCAGCGGTAATACCTCTGACTGCTTCACTGCATTATCCGTGTACGAATCTCGGAAGCGACATGAATTCCTTCAAGATTGCAGATACACCTTGCTACCTAGTGTCAAGAAACACGGAATCTAGGTCCAAGGGTTTCTGTCATTTAATTTCAATCATCTAACATCAAAAAATATTCCTCCTGAAACTTTTCATCGAAGTTGTACAGCTAAATAGTGTCTCTCCAAGATCATAAAAAATGTTAGTAGAAGTCAATTATTAATAAGATTTGGTGATGCAACATGCGCAGTTACTTACGAAACATTAGTTGGCACATAGCATTCACAGATGATTATCTTTAAAACTGTAAGCCTTTGAGAGAAGGAATATTGTTCATAAGATAAAGAGATTCCGTGTATGTAGCCGGAAACTATACGAACGATTTGGCAATGCTTTATATAGCACTTCGAAAGATTGTGTAACAATAAAGTACTCAAGAATTGAGAGAATGTTTACTGTAATTTCCTATTTCGATAACCCTATTGGAAAATATTTTTGTGGACATCTAGAAAATATCTTACCTGTATGGCCTATTAACTTAGGTGCAATGGATTAGTTTGAGGATTTCATCATGAGCTGACATCAGTTACAGAACCACTGGAAAACCTGGGAGTACTGGGCAGCCGTTTCGTCCTAGTTTATGATTCTTCAACAGTACGCACCTACCACAGAGGCTCGAACCCAGGACCTTCTGATTACAAGGCGAGCATCAAGTGAATTTTTACAGTTTTACTATTTAGAACTGATTTCACTGTTTACACTGATTATATATATATATATTAACTTCCCAATAAACTATGCCTTTTTTATGGACTACACGTTCTTACTTCCAACCTTTATTGTTCTACTCTTAAATCAGATTGTCTTAAATATCTTCTGCTTAACTACTTTCAAGGAAAATGTACTTTGATTAGAGTTTAGCTGAAGAATTTTTGACAACTGGGTGAATTTAGTGACTAAAAACTCAAAATAGCCGTTATTTTCCTTCATCAGTTGAAAATTCCGACCGAAATACTACAGCGATTATAGGAAAAATTAGAATCTAGACATCTGTCAATCCTAGAATAAAATATTTGATAACTGTTTTTACAAACATTTGTATATACAAACTTATTAGCTTATCTAAAACAGGTGTATATATTGCTTTTAGGTGATTGGAAGCAATCGAAAGAAGACCTTGCACCTAGATTTTGTGCTTATTGACACTCGTCAGCAAGGAATAACTGCAGTCTTGAAGGAATTCTTGTCCCTTCTGAGATTCATACCCAGGTTATTCAGTGCTGCAAACAGAAGCTTTGCCACTGAGCTATTTGCGTTTGCGACTCACCTCCTGAATGATTCAAATGGACACTTTGACTGGACACCACGTAGAACTAATATGAGGTGACTAGTCATCAGTGGATGACCCAGGTTTGAATCTCAGTAGGGGCATGAATTCCCTTGTGACTGAAAGTAAGCCTTTCTGACCCGTGTCAGCAAGAACGAAGCCTAGGTCCAGGGATTCCTGCTAATAGTCTCCAACGGTTTAATGACAACGATTCTGAGTGCACCGTGTTGGCAAGTGAACTAGCTTGATAGCTACATTGCAAACTTGACCGACAGAATTCACTCTGTGCCAACAGTAGGACTAGACGCATGACAGTAGTTACTTACAACCTAGTGTCCATTTAAAGCTGTATGACTGTAGAGCTGGAACAGAATGTGAAATGAAAAACTGACTGAATCTTTCAGACAAGCCAGCGTAGTTTCACTGAAGTAGGATTAAGTCCAAATTTAAAAAAAATCAACTTAAAAAATGACTAGATCAAAATATAAGATGAATCCATAAAGCCACTGAACCACATAGGGAGCTATAGACTGTCAGTTTGAAACCGTTAGGATTATAAGAATAAATTTCTGGATTCATATATTAAGATGGCTATATTAACTCTCAACATGTCGGTTTGCAGGGATTTGTTTGGTCACAGGTTAGACGACGAGTTGACATTACGTAGAGAATCACTGGAAAATCTTGAAGTAAGGAACAAATATTTCGTCTTATTCTGGGACTCATTGGTAGTGCGCACCCGCTGGGGTTCGAACCCAGGACACTCCGGTTACAGGATGACATTGCAAACCACTCAGCCATTGGGCCCTAGTCCCATGACTCATGAATTCCAGCTTTTGCCGGTTGACGATGTATACAGAGCAACCGTATGTCAACGTTATGAGCGAATAAATACTCTCTCTCCGAAAGGCAACCACGACAGAGAATGCTGAAAAAAGAGAATAGATGAAATCAACTCTTGTTCGATTACATCCACGATCTTCGGTTTTCTTTGCTAACATGCAAAATGTTTTTTCAAAGAATTCTTCTCTTCACGATGTAAAAGTGACATCGAGTTCCGAAAAATGCGAAATATTGAATTCTTAAGAAAAGGAAAACTATGAAACATTTCAACAAATTTTCGTATATCATGAGATGTCTGTTAACTAAAGTCGTTTCAAATTATATCGAATACTAATTAACAAAAAAACAACTCACTTATCATCGTGTAATCTGTTGCTCCATTCCTCAGACTTCCAAGATTGTTGAGCTTTTTCCAATGAAAAGTAATCTGTTGTCACGCGTAAGGATAGATTTAACGGTGTATTTATCCACTTTTTCACTTCTTCTGGATTTCTGAATGGACCTTTAACTTTCACAGGTTTATTTATCCGTTTTGCAGTAGGACAGGACGATGATGACGAAGCTGTGTAGGACGATGCTGATATTTCAGTACACCCGACAGTTCGTGGTATCTTCTTATTTTCTTTTATCAATTCTTGACGAACTGATAATAAAAGCTTTTCCTTATCACTAGGCCTAATTCAATGCAAAACAACGCGAAAATGAATCACTACATTACCCACTACTAGTAAAGATTTCAATAGGCTAATTAGATTTCGTTAAGTTTATGTTAAATTACAGGTGCAATGAATGAAGGCGATAAAGAAGTTTTTTCTACTAAATTAATTGCTACATTGACTATATAACGGCAAAAGATAAGAGAACTGGTAACGGACTTTTAATTGAGGAAAACACATGATATTTATAGGCTCTTCAAACTACAAAACCAGTCGGTTAGGTCTGAGGACAATAAAGTGTTCCGATTGGTTGGCGACTGGCTCAAGATTAAACTGGGACGAAAAGTTGTTCAGTAAGGTTATTTCATGCACACAACGTACATTAAATCCATATATGAGGAATAAACAATTCCACCTCTACAGCAATTGACTTAAAATGTTGATTTCAATTTTGGCTGCTTCCTATCACTCTGTAACTGTTCAATATAAATAAATCTTGTCAGTAGCACACGCCACGACTCTTTAGTAACTGCGCAGTTCACAATGAAATATCACACTGAGTTCTTCTGAAAACTGAAATTATTCAAATCACAATATATGATGTACCTAATGAATTAAAAATGAGGAGAAAACACAGTGATTTGAGTAGCTGTAAATTACCCACAATAGTACTTGTTTTGCTGGATGAAGATTCATTTAAACACTGAATATCTGTTTAACTAGTTCACAGTTGAGCTTATTAGCAGAATATTCGGTCTTAGCTCTCTAGGATGAATGAATTAGAGTCAAGTTACTTTCTGAAAGACAGGCCTTCATCAGTCTGAATTCACTTTGGAAATCTTCTGTACTCCGCCTTGGCATAAACAACAAGATTTAGGTTATCAACACCAGTGTTAAGTCAGTAAGTTCTTCCATATGGGTCAGAAACTTGGCGGATTCGTCATGGATTATCAAAAGGAAACTTCGGAAACGAACCAACCAAGAACTTATTGCTCATGATGAAATCTTCCGACCAATCAAACAAAATCCCTGCAAACCAATAGCTGAGAAAATTGATTTGATGCTCACTAGCGACTGGCCCTATTCAGGCAGTGACCTGTGGCTCAAGCGGGAAGGTGTGGCCAATAGGATAAAGTAGGTCGAAGGTGAGGTAGTAACTCATCGAAGAAGACATTGCGAAGTGGTAATGCTATGTAATGAATTTGAAGAAGTCATAATTCATGGATTGGCCATTGGATCTACTAGCTAGCTCTCCTTGTAACCAGGTCCTGGGTTCGAACCCCACCGGGTGTGTACTGCTGAAGAATCGCAAACTAGGACGGGGGAAACAGCTGTTCAGTACTCTTTGGTGGCTTTCAGTGGTTCTCTAGCTGATGTCAGCTCATGATGAAATCCTCCAACCAATCAAAATATTTAAAAGAAAATGGATCAGACACAGACTGAGGCGACTGATGAATGATATCCTACGCCATACCATAGCTCGAGTGGAACCCGCCGAATAAGATTAGACGAGTGAGGTGTTCTAGGGTGACATAGAGGGGGTCTTGTTAGGAGGAGAAAAGGACTCTAAGCAACCGTAGGGTTAGCTAAAGACGACCGTATGGAATAGGACAAAGTGAAGGTGCGCTGTTGAACCTATACGTCCCACTTGAAATCTAAGGGGACAATATCAGTAATAGTTTTGCAGGTTAACAAAGCCAAGTGATACACTCAGAATCAAACCAGGAATATCCAAGCCACACAGTCAGGGGATAGTTGATCCCAGGACGAGCAAATCGGCTGGCGCCAACCTGACCAACGCGCATTATTAGTTACTGCCAATGTCCAGCAAACAGTAATATGTATCACATTCCTTCTCTGAATGAATCGCTAAGACAGAGTATACCGACTGATATGTCACGACAATACGGATTTATGTACTTCATCTTATAGTTGGCTGCTTCATGGTACATAAAATTATCCCTAACCATGTGACTACTCATAATGTCTAATCATTGCACTTGAAGGTTCGTCATCGCCACCAACATCTGAGACACTGAAGTTATCCATTCATGAAGTGTTCAAATTGCTGTTGTCTTGTCATCTGATTGCTATGAAGTGCACTAAGCGATTATGATTTTAAAAATCCTTAGAAAACATACATATCATTATAGTAAATTATTCAGTAAAGGATGTGCCACTGAAAAGAAATACAGTAAAGAAAAATAATCTAACACAAGTGAGCTGAACACTTACGTTTTATCACTTTGTTGATATATTCCTGGTTGACAATATGTAGAAATTAGGAAATGATGGGATTTTGCCCAATTAAGTATTCTTTTCCGTTCATTTTCCTCTTTCTCATTGACTTTTAATTGTTTCATTTCTTTTTCATATTCACTTAACTGACTCCTTTTGATTATTGAGAAAAAATAATGAGCTTATATTATCACTGCATAACTGGAACATACTTAACAAATTCGCCAACATCAACTAAAGCTGATAGATAAACTTTACGTGCATAGAAGTTGAATACATATTTCCGAGTTAGATAACCCTTCCACGCACTTTGAATCTGTAGGAAATTAATAACATCAGTTGTTATTTATCACAATTATCTTTTCAAACTTACTTTAGCTGCAGCTGTACTAAATTTATTTCTACGGAATCTGACAACAGCTTCAGATAATACAAGTCGATAGTGTTTACGGCCTAAATATCCTCTCCAAGTTTTTTGAATAATAATTGTACATTTGTTAATAAATCTAACAATGAAACAAAAAAGACAAGTCACACTTTAAATTTGTAAGTTATAAAATTACTGTTGTCAAGTGATGATTATTTAGTAGAAACTATCAAAGATTTTTTTTTTCGCCGACTAAGATATTTGCAGAACACGATTTAGGCAGGGAAATACGTATTTTCAGTAAATTCTCGTCTGGCTTAACAATTACATAATAAAATATCAGTCACAAACATTTGAAAGACAATTTGGTTCAATAGAATCAAATATAACCAAAGAGTATGTAAGTAGGACAATAATAATTATTATTATAATAACCGAGATAACTGTTCTAAGTCGAGGTTGAAGGCCATAAGAGAGACAAGGACTGAACAGACTTTTTCTGAATACGAAGATTGGGTAGGTGAAGGATAGGTTGCCAAGCTAGCCATCTCAGTGTGCATTTATGAGTTTAGCTTTTCTTGTGGAGACATTCACGTAAGTAGAACGACTCAGATAGCCTACCATCGTCTTCAAGAGCATTTCGAAAACAGAGAGATTGAGCGAAGAAATATTTACTTTTCAATTAGATCCTCATCTCTTGCTCTACTCATATATATATATATATATACATACGTATATATATATATATATATATATTAGAGTAGAGCCAGAGATGAGGATCTGATTGAAAAGTAAATATTTCTTCGCTCAATCTTCCTGTTTTCTAAATGTCTAAATGGGGATTTTTTCTAGAACATTATCCAGCATGGTTAAGTAAGGGAATCGCGAAGTTAATCGGGGGTTCCACATTGGTACATCATGGATACAGAGCACAAGAATGATAAAAGTTCAACCTTTACAGTTCTATACAAGGTACCGCCTCAATTCTCTAATTTCGTACACCTTCAACCTCTAAGCGTAACTGAAGCAGTTGCCATAAAACAAAATTTTTAGCCCAATCTGTGTTCAGAAAAAAGTTTTCGAACCCCTTCCCTCCCATGTCCTTCAACATCAACCTGGAACAGCTATCCCGATTGATATTATTATCATTATTATTATTGTACTTACATTCACCTTGATTATATTTGATTCTATCGGTGCACACTGTTTCAAATGTCGATGACTGATATTTTAATTTGAATGAAGCAATAACAACAGTTTTTGCAGAATAAAATGGTACCATCATTTATTTCGTTGGCTTCTCATCCGCTGCTTACAGTCCAAAGTCATAATTATGTATATTGAAAGAAACAATTTTAACATACTTGAACAGGTATAAGTATAAAACTTGGGCACTGTGGTAGAGTATAACTCCATTATGGGTAAGATTTTGTTTTGATAAATCACACAGTGTTAAACAGTAATATTTACTGTAATAAAATAAATGATGGTACCATTTTATTCTGCAAAAACTGTTGTTCTTGCCTTATTCAAATTCATTAAGGGGAATAAATGTACAAATTTACTGATATTTTATTCAAATTTATCAGATTTCGGTGAATAACTAAATGTTCTTCGATGACAGAGAATAATACATGATACTAAAATACAGTACAAGTTGTGAGACGTCAAATCAATCAGTCAGTGAATGCGAAAAGTTGTCTTCAGGAGATCACAAAAATGATCTGAACCGAAACATATGGTTCATACGTATTTATTGTCTTCACACTGAACGTCTAAAAGGTAGATTATCCACCAGTTTAGTATAATCATAGTCACTTGGGAAAATATTCGGGATCATGAAACACAGTGCTTTCTCCAACTTTGGTTAGGCACTCTTAGACAGATAACATTCACATTTCGATGGGGAACCAAAGTGAAGACCGATAGATTCTGTGGCCAACTATTCAATCTTCCATAGCTGCCTTTTGATGAAAGAAGTGACACTGTTTCAATTACAATTAATACAACCTAAAGAACACTGTATGCAAATGATGAGTAATAGTAATAAAGTTCAAATGAAATACTAAGGTTAAAAAACACCTAGACAGAAACTAGAACATCTGAAAAAAATCCTATCTAGCGTGCAAAGGGAAAGAAATATTCACATGAACTGAGGAAAAAGAACCAAGAGTACACTGAAACGGACATTTCTTGTGGCAAGACTGATTCCGCTTTACAACACTGTATGCTCACTAACTCATCTGAAAGTGGATAAATATCTTATTGACGTAAACTCCAAATTCATTTGCACTTCCAATAAAGTTTACAAAGGAAGAATTGAGAGCAGAGTGTCTACTGGATTTTCAGAGCATATCCATAAATTCCTCCTAATAAAAGGCAGTAAAGTGTTTTCAGTTCCAACTGCCAGACACCTGATTGTCAGTAGACATACAGCGAATATCAGTCAAACTTTCAAAGTAGTCACTATGGAAAGAAAACCGTGGTTACTTGGTTTCACAGAAGCAATCGCTATCGAAAGATTCCAACCCAACCTCTCTATGCAGAAAAATAGCATGATAAATCTCCCACCATCCTGGCAACTGTAATTGTTTTGTTTATGTGTTTTTGTTCCTTATCCTGCTGCGTAACATCCCATCTAATTTTGATTTTCACTTACTCAGTTGAACTCACTATTAAATTTCCAAATTTTCCTAATTGTTTGTCTATGTCACATTCTTACTCTACTACTCATCCTCAACCTCTTGAACTCTTCACCAAAATATGTGCAAATTCACTCTGTTGTTTGATCTCGTTTTCTGTCTGTGGTCAGTCTATTGTTTTTAAACAAAATGTGAACTCTATAGCAACCTCCTTTATAATTATACCATAAATAGCTTACCTTTTAACGCTGAATAGTTTGCCCACTTACATCATTTTGGAATTATGCTGCTGATACTTTCTATGCATAACTTGAGGTCACTATGAGAAAAGTGTGTTCAAAAATAATTTAACTTATACCTCGATATTGTTTAGGATGTACAAGTTGAAAAGAATGAAGGGAATAAAACGAGGTCATATTATCCTTGACATATATTCGTTCTTCCTTTGTCCAAACTAATCAGCGAAACCAGTTGAATGAAAAGCGAATGAGTTAATTCCAAAACGGTCTCTACTGTTATATATATATATATAAATATATATATATATATATATAGTGTTCATCCCATAGGTTTCTAATGGAAAATAGAACTCAATATATACACCTTCACTGAACTAGGTTCTCCGTTATCATGTTCAGACACCATTATGAATGTCCACAAGTTTCCATTTCATTTGCACGTGATCTTCTCCGCGCAGACCTTGGATACACAACCTGTTGCGTCCCATTCGGGTTCTACTTTACAGCTTGCCGTTCGATATCACTTGAAACAGTAACAGAACTCATCACTGGTAGAGATGCAATCACTCGGCGAAGCAACGAGGACAGAGAACTTTTTTCACGCTGTGATTCTAATTATTTGGTGATTTGTGACAGCCTGTACAAGCATAAGAGTATCTGCAAGACATCATGGTTGCACCTTACAGGCAAATGAAAAGTCAAACTAATTTCAGTAAAGTCTCAAGAAAGCGGAGATGACGCCTTCTCTACACAAGGTCGAAAAGTGGAGCATATTCAGACCCGAGCCACTAGGTATTGCGAGGAAACTTGAATATCAAGTTAAAACTCTTCTTAGCAGCTAGAAATAGACAGAAATTCATGTTCAACACTCAGGAACTGTGGAATGAAGTTGCAAAGGATAACTTCACGGCAGTTTCCAAGAAAAGTTCAGAAAAACCAAGTAACACCACCGTGGAAACCTGAGTGGAGGAAGACTGGAACTCCTTGAAGGCGATATAATTATCTTACGCAGAAAGAACAAACAGGATAAGGAACGATTCTCTATGGGTATATGGAAGCTAAGAGAGGGACAGCGAAACAGAAAATAAGTCAGTGTGGTAATGAAAAACGAAAGGAGAAGTTGAGTTCAGTATTAACTGGACAAAGAAATAGAGAGTAATGTCAGGAAAGACAAAAAAACACTGTCACGACACACTTGTAAACGAAGCGGAACAGGCTGCAGGTAAGACAGACCTCAATAAACTATGTAGAATATCCGGGTCTCCATTTGGGAACTGATCAACACAGATGAAGCCACTTGAAGATGGTGAAGGAGACCCAAGGAAGTGGGACAGAGTGAACTCTGGGTTAATCATTCAAAAGACTCTTTAATCGACCACCACTTGGAGCCCTTTATGAAATGCCACCAGGAGACACAGAAGTACCATTTATCACTCATTCTTTGACGAAAGCAGAAGTCTTCACGCAATGCCATAGTGTTACCGTTAGCCAGGAAATCAGGAGGACCAAATGGGATGTCCCCCCTAGAAACACACGAGACCGACCCACCGACTTTAGTGAACATGGGAGCAAAAGCCAAAATGTTGGTAAAAGAGACAGTGACGGCGGGATGTAGAGATGACAGGATTGATAGAGAAATACAAGCAACAACAACAACCACCCATCACCAACTGGAAAAATCCAGATGAATTTGTTTCCTTCACTTATCTGATCATCATGGTTCCAGCGACAGGTGTCACGGATGACGATGTCAAACCTATTCAGGCATTCATTACTCCAAAATTTGCAACCGAAAACCTATCACCCAACAAATACGCTAAAGGAAACACAGATACACCGAAATTGCACACCAGGCCACCGAATGGGAGTCAACGGGAACCAATGGATCGGGCATGGCTGAGGGGGTAACGTGCAAAGGATTACGTGAGTCGAAAGTGAAAGCTTACAGGTAGTCATGGAACCATCTGAAGGTCACTGTAAAGAGCTGAATGCAACTGAGATGTTTCAATGAAGCCCTCTGTCCCGCTGAGTACAGAAAGCATGAATAATACAATAAAAATTGCTAGGCGTACAACATATTATAACTTCTCAATATCACTATTTACATTACTTATAAGTAATCGGTGTTATTCGCCATAATTTCCTGCTTTCCTTTGTTTTTTGGGCCTCAAAGACAGGTTTATGCAATAACTGCCGACATGTCATATCAAGGATAGATGTATAAATTTATGTTACCACCAATTATTTTTATTATACTCATTAACCATAGACCTTTGAATTACTTCTAAAGGAAAACAAGACAACCCATTACTTCACTGGAGTAGTGGGTTCATTAATTTAGACAGAAATGACATAAAACAGAATTCACAGTCTTCCTTCTTAATGCAAAGACAACATCTCTGTGCTACAGTGACATTCATAAAATAATTCATTCACAAGAAATGTCAACATAAATTTTCTCTATACAATTCTGATCCTAATATCTCACCTCCAAGTATACCTTCTATGACACATCCGTTTTAAGTAAAATTAAAGTAAAAGTCAGTGAATAAGTCAAATTAAATAAAAATACAGATCACAGACAGAATTTCACTGTTCAGATTATTCTACGTAACTCACTTCAAATAACATCGAATTCGAATACCACGAAACCAAGCTTGAATTTTGACTGCAGCATTATATTCACTTAGACGATGTGTATCACAATTTCTACAAATAAAAATATCAGTAGACAAAGGTTTCATTTTTCTTCATAATACCTATATGTCTCTTTTAATTTTATTTCATAGTTGTTGATAAAATCTTCTAATAGTCTTTGACTGCTCATTTCTGTAGGAACTGAATCAGTTACTCATATCCTCTCAAGTCATCGCTAGGAATGAATGCTGATATTTTTCTGTTAGGAAGACAAATAAATAGGTTAGTTTAATATAAATAAGATTACTAAAGAAGAAATGAAGTTAAAAGGCAAAGTTCAATATTAAATAATTTTATTGGATAATACACACAGTAACAGAACGTCACTAAATGTAAGTGGTTTGAGATAATCATGAGCAGTAACTTGTACTTGATAAGCAAGTCAGTTTTTAGTACTGTAATACTGCGTACTATATCAAACAAACTTACCTAATAAGTAATTATATACTTTACAGTGGTGTTAAAAGTCCTGTTCTTAGCGAAAAGCAAAGTTTTTTATGTACAGATCTGGTTCAACGAAATGGCATGAACTTTCCTTGTAGATGCTTCAGCAAAATCTGTGGTTGGATCGTTATTGTGAAAATAGATTAACTAACAGAAAGTAAAGATTCACCATAGCCCCTGTTTACCTAGATTTCAAAATTACGAAATGAATACATACGCAGAAATATTTTCATTTCTTTCATGTGAAGACTAGTGATTCGGTCATGCACATATTTTTTTATAATTCAAGTATTTCTTCCCTTCTTGTTACTGTCGTTCTTTACAAATATGAAACGTGAAACTTTCGTGCAACTTTGTAGGCTTCTGCACCCACTCTTGTTGCTTGAAATATTTCCAGGCGAAGCAAAAACTAAGATGATAAGCAAAGTGATGTTAAAAGAAACAAGTGAAAAGACATTATTTCTACTGAAAACTGTGATTCCTGTATCAGTAATGAACATGGCAGAACAAACGATTGTATATATAAAACCACGTAGATTTTCCTTCTTAATCGCATGCACTTATTTAGGTACATTATAACTATGTAGAGTGCTAATTATCATAACCATTGAGTCAGACAGGAGATCAAAGAATGCGGATTCCAGGAAAATAAAATAATCACCGAGTTTTCGCCATTTTTCTCAAGTTTATGGTGACTACTTTTTCTAAAGGAGACTAAGCGAGACTTTTGACAAACTGAAAAAGCTTACCGAATAATAATGAATAAAAGGAAACAATACCAAAACTCAGATAGAACTAATAAGCGAGTTCTGAAATAATTTTAGTAGTCTGGGGAGTTTCCAGCGAATCAGTTTGAATTAGGATATTCCAACAGCCTCAAAGAAAATAAATTAGATAGGCACAAAGAGAGGTCGAACAGTCATAGAAACAATAGTTAATAAATGCAGTATATTTAGAAGATAATTGAGAGCTAATTTTTTTCACTGTAACCTATTTAGAACGGTATTAATACGTCATAAATGATTCTCGGTTGAATCTGACGATTACAATTATAAAATATAAGGAATGTAGTAATAATGAATGAGGTTCAATACTAGTTATAATTTATCACAAAGCAGTGATGTCTTTTAACACTGATTTGCCTATGCTCACTTATGAATGCAACGATAAGTTAGAAATTACAGTAAATTTTGATGTTCACCTTAACATATTGCTGTGCATTCAGAATTCTTGAATGAGTTTTAAACAACTGGATATTCAGTGACTGTAATGCTACAAGAAATACAGCTATGCTATTACATACTTCGAGATGAAAATATTTTTGCCAACTACGCAAAATAAGCAGGCATCAGGAAGATGAAAGAGTTACTTAGACAAAACATGTTCACCTATTGCTTTCTTATAGCATGAAAAATATAAAGTGAAGCTTATTTTGCTTTGTCAACATATGAAATCCGATTGATTCATTTCATCCACGCAGTGCAGACATAGGGCAGCATACAACAGAGCATTTATAAATGGCATACCAAATCAAATGTAAATCTCCCTGACTGGATATGTAAACACTTCATTCCATCTAAAATCCCTTAAAGTGGAGGCTGCTTTAGCTACGGAATCAAAAAGTTTCATATTATTATACTTAATAAAATACGACAATATGTGAGTACTGCTTACACAATTCTATTCTTTAACCTACTTCCCAAACCATAACAGAAGAAGCATAATGAAAAAGTAGAATTCTGTATCTACCCTAACAATTGGTTTTTCTCTTATAGCATGAACTCCATTTATAGCAAAATTTCTCTTACAAAGCTGTATGACAATGGGCTTATTGCCACACTCTCCCTGGACTCACAACGGCATGTATAATGCGATTCCTAATGACTTTTCATAGCGTCCCCTAAATCTAATTAGTTCTTCACAGTGGACTTTTGACAAACCTTGGCATAGACTATGATACTTTAACTTCGCCAAAAAAATGAATTCGAAGTGGATGTGATGAGCGCAAATACATAAGAAGGATGATACTACAATATAACAGAAAAACAGAGGACTATTGGATTTGACTTTATATAAATATATATGCTTCTGTAAACAGTACCATAATTTCCCTACCACCTTATTATTTCTTTTAAACAGTTCACAAAAACACTGAAGAATTCCTAAGAGTTTTTCGAATTACTGACCTTTGCAAGGACCTCAATTTACTACAAACTCATTGTCTGTAGCCATGGCAACCGCTACGAATTTCCGCGTTTATACTGTAATAAAATAAAAACCACCATAACGCCACTAAATAAGTTTCTTTTCCCTCTTTTTCAGAAAGAAACGCTGACGTGGCCTCACTGGAACGGGAGGAAGATCGTTTGGCCAGACTTGTTATAAGTGACGATAATTAGCTTGTACCCGGTTAATTCAATCCTGCCGTGGTTGAAATAAAGATCTCCCTCTCGTCTCTTCGTCTTCTTCCTTTTCCGTTGGTTGTGGTTGTTGCTTGCGTGTAACAATTGGTGTCGAAGGTGTTTTATCTACACTAACATGGCAAATCGACCAGAGGATCAGCCTCCCAAATTGTTTCCTCAGGATAGTGCTCCATCATTGCCTAGTGTACCACCGCACTCCTGCCCACCACTGCTGCAACCATCATCAGATTGCCCTCGCTGGAAGATACGAATGCAGGCGTTCCTGGACGTTGCCCCAGCAGCCCACCATTTCGTCCACGTCCTCAACAACCTATCAGACGATGCATTCGCCCGTGCAGACGCTGCTGGGTTCAGTAAAACCAACTCCATGCAAAAGAACTGGGAGATCCTAGATCAATGTTTTGACCTGAGGCTGGGTTCTCAACATACCCTATTACAACTGCTCTCCCGCCGACAACTACCAGGAGAGAGTTTCCTGGAATATCTTAACGCTCTCCAGATACTGGCAGCTGGACTTGACAATCACGATAGCCCTGGCGGCACAGATCAATTGGTATGCACCCGTTTCGTCGAGGGAATGTTGCCTGGTGACCTGCGCACAAACCTCCGACGTCAGCTCCCAGCCAACACGTCCCACTTACAGAAGATTATTCTCCGTTTCATGGACGCCGAGAATGACCACGTGTCGACACCCAGCACCTCTATGTGCCCAGTATCACCATAACCCAATGCACCCCCCGTTCGCCGCAACCGTTCACGAAGCCAACAACGCTCAAATGGGGACGCTACCCGTCGCTGCTACTACTGTCAACGCTTCGGGAAGAAGGCCCGTAAGTGTGGCCACAATCGCCAGCCGGACCGCAGTAAGTCCCCTGTTTTTAATTTGTCTACATACTCTTGTAACGGGCAACCTCTGATGTTATGGGGACATATTAATGGAGTGCCCTCTAAAGTCCTCTTAGATACTGGCGTGTCAGTCTCTCTAGTAAAGGCTTCCTTCCTTCGACGCTTGCCCCAGTACTCAGCCCCAGTAACCACTCACACCATCTTGACGACAGCTAACGGTGCCAAACTGGAGGCCCGATCGGCTACCGATCTACAGCTGCGTCTTGGAGACCTAGATGTGCGCCATCAGTTTCTTATCTGCGCCCAGATTACATGGGACCTCATCCTAGGAGTAGACTTCTTGAGGTCACACCACACTCTTATAGATATCACCAATTCTCGAGTCACAATTGATTATGTCACTATACCCGTATATAGCCCTCAGCAACCGCGGTCTGCTGCGTCAAAGTTGTCAGTGTCTACGATCATAAATCAAGTTTCAGTTGACCCATCTGCTCCTGTTCCCCTCCGAGGGCAAATGCTGAAATTGATTGATGAATACGCTGATGTGTTCGATGATGGGGGTAATCCAGGACGCACTGGTGTTGTTCAGCACCGTATCAATACAGGCAGTCATCCGCCTGTGCGTCAGCCACCCCGACGCATCCCCGTACATTACCAGCCCCAACTGGACGCCCTGATACGAGATATGTTGGATAAAAAGATCATCGTACCATCATCCTCCCCATGGGCGTCACCCATCGTTTTAGTCAAGAAGAAGGACGGCTCCCTCCGAATGTGTATTGATTACCGTAAACTGAATGCTGTAACCAGACGGGACGCTTTTCCGATTCCCCGTATCGATGCAACCCTTGACGCACTTGCTGGCTCACAGTGGTTCTCCACGTTAGATCTGGCGTCAGGCTACTGGCAGGTAGAGGTGCACCCTGACGATTGCCCGAAGACGGCCTTTATCCTCCCGAGCGGTCTCTACGAATTCCGAACAATGCCCTTCGGACTATGCAATGCCCCGGCCACCTTTCAACGCTTGATGCAAATAGTCCTTGACAGGTTAGTCCCGCAAAAATGTCTCATCTATCTTGACGACATTATTGTACATGGGAAGTCCCCAGAGGAGCACATGGATAACCTACGGGTTGTTCTTACAAGGTTTAGAACGAATGGGTTAAAGTTGAAGCCGGCTAAATGTTCATTCTTACAGAGGGCAGTCACATTTTTGGGGCATCGAATTTCACCAGATGGTATTCAAACAGATCCAGAGAAAACGCGCCTCATCTCAGAATGGCCTACACCCCAGTCCTGTAAAGACGTTCGTAGCTTCCTAGGGTTGGCTTCGTACTACGGACGTTTCGTGCCTGGGTTTGCCACCCTAGCCTCGCCCCTGCATCGCCTGACAGAAAAGGGCCGTAAATTCCTGTGGACCAATGAATGCCAACATGCGTTCGACAAGCTAAAGACGAACTTGACATCAACCCCCATCCTTGCGTTCCCAGACACGTCTCCGTCATCTGGTTCATTTATTCTGGACACGGACGCAAGCGCTAACGCTATAGGGGCTGTCCTTTCCCAAGTGGCAACCGATGGTCGAGAACGCGTTATTGTATATGCCAGTCGCAAGCTAGATAAAAGGGAAACACGGTACTCGACAACCCGAAGGGAGATGCTTGCCCTTGTGTATTTCCTGAGACACTTTAGACACTATCTACTTGGGCGCCCCTTTCGAGTACGCACTGACCATCGTGCACTACAATGGCTGCAAACATTTCACGAACCTGAAGGTCAGGTGGCTCGATGGCAAGAGCGGTTACAGGAGTTCGAGTTTACTTGTGAGTATCGTCCGGGGCCTCGGCATGCTAACGCTGATGCCCTCTCCCGATTGCCGAGGTACGACTCAGTGAATGCTCTACTTAATACGGGTATCGATGTAGATTGGGCTGCACTGCAGGCGGCTGATGCAGATATTCAACCTGTTTACTCGCGACAGCTCCATGGGCACGATAAACCATCGAATAAGGAACTACGGAGTCTGTCAGATACAACACGATGCATCTGTGGCAAGTGGGGCGTGTTACGACTAATCGACGATGTTTTGTATATAGTGGAACCATCCTCGTCACCCCGTCTCCTTGTTCCCCGGTTGAAAGTTCCGGAGGTGATTCACCTTGTGCACTACCAGCTGGGTCACGCTGGCCAACAAAAAACCGAACACGCCGTCCGTCAACGTTTTTGGTGGCCACTTCTTCATCACGACGTTACTGAATTCTGCCGCAACTGTGCTACATGTGCACAAATCAAACAGCCCAAACTACCTTCCCGAGCACCGTTAGTACCTATGCTTACGGAATCTTTCAACCACCGAGTTGGGGTAGATGTCATGGGGCCAATAACAACGTCGAGACGTGGTAATCGATACATACTCGTCATGGTTGACTACTTCACGAAGTGGTACGAAGCTGTCCCTCTGCAACAACAAGATGCCTTGACGATTGGTCGCGCGTTCATAGACAACTGGGTGTCCCGCTTTGGTGCCCCTCTTTATCTACACTCTGACCAGGGCGCCGCATTCGAGGGTCATCTCATCGCTCACATCTGCAATACTTTTGGCATCCGGAAGACTCGTACTACATCATACCACCCACAGGGTAATGGACTCGTCGAACGCACCAACCGAACTATTAAGAATCTTCTCCGTGCCTTTTTGCACAATACACCGGAGAACACCTGGGACGATGTCCTACCTCAGTGTCTACTAGCGTATCGCTCCTCCATCCATTCATCCACGGGATTTTCCCCAGCTTTGCTTCTGTTTGGACATGAACTCCGTCTCCCAGTTGAGATTCAAACGCCGCTGCTACCGTATGAGAAAATCGACTGCATCCCCTATGTTCGACATCTTCGCCACCACCTGGGGATAGCCTACAACCTGGCACGTCGTCATCTCCAGTCTTCGTCAGAACATCAGAAGAGTATTTATGACCGTTTCGCCCGCGGCCCCACCTATTCGCCTGGTGACTATGTCTGGCTTCATCGCCCATCGGTACCTGCCGGTTCGTGTCCTAAATTCTACGCCCCGTGGCAAGGACCTTATGAGATCGTACAGCACCGACCTCCCACAACGTATGTCCTGCGGAATTTGCAACGTCCTCAAGATAACCTTATATCCGCACACTATAACCAGCTGAAACCACATCACCCAGCAGCCGCCCAGAAGCCGTCGCCATCCCCGCAACCACCGCCCGCTACTAGTTTCGTCGAGGTACCAACAGATGGAGGCAGTGCATCTCCTATACCACCGCCAGGCACTGAGGACAGTGCCTCCAGAAGGGGGGAGGCGATGTAATAAAATAAAAACCACCATAACGCCACTAAATAAGTTTCTTTTCTTCCTTTTTCAGAAAGAAACGCTGACGTGGCCTCACTGGAACGGGAGGAAGATCGTTTGGCCAGACTTGTTATAAGTGACGATAATTAGCTTGTACCCGGTTAATTCAATCCTGCCGTGGTTGAAATAAAGATCTCCCTCTCGTCTCTTCGTCTTCTTCCTTTTCCGTTGGTTGTGGTTGTTGCTTGCGTGTAACAATACTATCATTTTCATCTACTCATTCAAAGTTACTTTCTTCCAACAAATCTAGTTTTCAAGTCATAAAGTACAACTTTAATGGGTTTTTTCTACATTATTTTAATGGAAGTTACAGCTCTTCACTGTGAAGCTACTAGCAGCTGTTTAAAACAAATAAAACAATAATCCATATTTTCTTGATTAAGATGTTCTGAAACTGAAGATAAACGTCATCCTTCTGAAAGAAACAAAGAAGTTATTACCGAAAGGCACTTTCTGGATATAATGTAGACCGAAATGAATGGTGCTCATCGGGTGTTTAATTTATCATAGGTGTATTGCCCAAATTAGTCTGTGAAGATAAAGTGTCCCCTAGAAACCAGTTGTCCAAAGTTACACTGCACGCTAGAAATCGCCTTTGTCGTC